GGGGGGGGGCAGGTTTTTCACCCTGACACGTTTCTCTTCCAGCACCTGTCAGACGCCAAGAAGGCCCAGCAGAACCTGGAGAGCAGCTTCAAACATCTAGAAAGTGTGAGTCGCCGCTTCCTGTCTGTCCATCTGGACGCCGTGGTCCTCCGGGGACCTGAAGGTGAAGCAGCTTTATGTGACTACGTGTCTTTGTCTTTGTCTCCAAAGACCAAGAAGCGTTTCGCCAAGGAGTGGGCCGAGGCCGATAAAGCCACGCAACAGGCGGAAAAAATCGAAAACGACGTGAACGCCACCAAGCTGGACGTGGAAAAGGTAAATAAAAACGGTGGACTTCCTCTGTGACACCTGAGCTCGCACCACCTCCTCCCTCCCCGTCGCCTCCATCGCCTCCATCTGTCCTTCTCTCCCAAGGCCAGACAGCACTCCCACGCCCGCGTGCACACAGCGGAGGAGTGCAGGAACAGCTACGCAGCCGAGCTGCAGAAATACAACAAGGAGCAGAACTACTTTTACTACACGGAGACGCCGCAGCTCTTCAACGTGAGACAGAACTCTGTCCAAACAAACACACCTCGTTTTCTCAGCAAATGTTGAAACCTTGGTGTTTTGGTTTGTTTTTTCATCTCCACTGCGGCCAACAGAAACTGCAGGACATGGAGGAGCGCAGGATCCGGCAGCTGGCAGCAGGATACTGCCAGTTCTCAGACGTAGAAAAGAAGGTGCTGCCCATCATCTGCAAGTGTTTGGACGGAATATCTGCAGCAGGAACGAAAATCAATGAGAAACAGGTGAATGTCCATCTGCTGGGAACAAAAAGAAACCTGTGATTGACAGGTCCGCCCGGTCCACGCCCGTGGGACAACGTCTCAATCTGGGACGGAAAAACAGTTGAACAGTTCAGGTCACACAGCTCATATAAACAGCTAACATTCCACCTGTGCGGTGATTCTTAACCACAGGGCCACGGCCCAAACGTGGGCCGCCAGCACCACCTGTGGGCTGCGGGCCAGATCTTTGACAGACTCTTCTTTCATGTTCACCGTCTCTGTCTCTTCAGGACTCCATGCTGTTTATAGAGCAGCACAAGTCGGGTTTCCAGCGACCTGGAGACGTGGACTTTGAAGACTACAGCCAGGGAATTAAACCCGCAACTTCTGATTCCAGCCTCCACCCACCTAAAGCCCGTACCAAGCTCTGGCCTTTCAGCAAGAAGAACAAGGTAAGTCAGGTTTAACCGTACAGTAAAGCACCCCCCCTCCCCCCCCCCACCCTGTTACTGCTGAGTCACCATTCAACAACCTGTAAATCCTCTCTGTCCTGTTTGGATCTGGTTGGTTGTCTCTGTCGTTCCACTCCTTCTCCTTCACTTTCATTCACTTGTATCTACCATTCAGTTACCAGACGT